TAAATGTCATCCGTAACAGTCTACAACTATAAATATATTTCAATTATGCATTTACCAACTAAATATATTCTTTTTTCAAACGTTTCAGAGGAATAAACTTCAGTTATCAAGGTTCCCTTTTTTCAGATCAAAAACATGTACAAACATTGTTTGTTAAAACAATGAGTACACTAAGACAGTATCATGACCTGATTCCTAGCTGTAAATCAAAATCTGTGACATTTTTTAGACAAAAGAAATTAAAAACTAGATTCAGAGTTAATTTATATGAGGTACTTATGAGATCTTGTGACTGATCATCAGTGAGCTTTTGTGATTGTGAATTTTTCAAATGAGCTTTAGTAGATAGGCTATTATATACAGAAGAGATATCAAAAGCTTTCTGGGATGTAAATTTACATCATTTTAACAATTCTGCTTTAAAAAATCACCCACATCAAAATCTGTGACATTTTTAGACAAAAGAAATTAAAAACTAGATTCAGAGTTAATTTATATGAGGTACTTATGAGATCTTGTGACTGATCATCAGTGAGCTTTTGTGATTGTGAATTTCTCAAATGAGCTTTAGTAGATAGGCTATTATATACAGAAGAGATATCAAAAGCTTTCTGGGATGTAAATTTACATCATTTTAACAATTCTGCTTTAAAAAATCACCCACATCAGAATTAGGACTGTCGTGTATCATTACAAGTGAAGATAATGAGTTCAAGATGCTCTTGTGATTTTCCAGAATACTTCGATCATTACTATGCGTATTTCTAAACCATCTTACGTTTTTTTTTACTTGTTCGTGAATTGCATAACTTTTGTTTACCAATATGCTCATCTGAAATGAATAAAATCAGAAAATATGTACAGAGTTTAGTTAAATTCGTTTATTATTGAAAATACAATAAAAAAGTAAATAAAAAGATCATGTAGAAACAACTAGATTATTTTAGTAAAATTATTAGTATAATAAATACTGTTACTGGTGGTACTATAGCTAGTGTAATAATTATTGTTAGCATTGATGAAATAACACACAAAATTAACTTGAATGGAACGATTATGTCTTCATAATAATGCTTTCAACTTATTTTCCAACAGTACTATTATAAGTCAATATCAGTTAGTTTAAGAGACAATAATAAGAAAGATTTACGTGTGAAAAGATAGAGATAATCTAAGTCAATATCAGTTAGTTTAAGAGACAATAATAAGAAAGATTTACGTGTGATAGGCTAGAGATAATCTAAGTCAATATCAGTTAGTTTACGAGATAATAATAAGAAACATTTACGTGTGAAAGGCTAGAGATAATCTAAGTCAATATCAGTTAGTTTACGAGATAATAATAAGAACGATTTACGTGTGATAGGCTAGAGATAATCTAAGTCAATATCAGTTAGTTTACGAGATAATAATAAGAAACATTTACGTGTGAAAGGCTAGAGATAATCTAAGTCAATATCAGTTAGTTTAAGAGACAATAATAAGAAAGATTTACGTGTGAAAAGATAGAGATAATCTA